GCGCAGCCATTCCGTTACCTGGTAGTTGGTGGCCGTTTCTGAGCTGAACAGGCCGTGTAGGCTGGCACGGATGGAGTCAGCTCGGTCCCCTTCCATGAACACCAGGTTTTCGCCAAGAAGAGGCATAAACATGTCGCGGAGACCGCACTGGAACGTCTCCCGATCTGAAAAAGGCAATGTGATACAGATGCAGACAGTCCAGTCACGGATGAGAACCAGCGCGTCTTTTAATACGCACGATGCTATGCAGCGAAATAATTCGGGGGAAATGACATTGTTTGACAGGATATCACGGGAAATGTAGAATACATAAAAATACAGTAGGGCTAGGCATGTAATGAGCAAGTTAACAAGATAGGCAAGTCCCAAACGGACCCACCATTACACCTCATGACCTCACTAAACCCGGCTCTATCAGAACACCTCAACCTGGCCAGTTTACCGACCTCGCAGCAGGTGTCGGACAGCCAGGTTGTCGGCCAGCACCACGGTGGGCCGCAGCAGCAGCCGGGTGAGGAAGGCGCGCGCGCCGTGCTGCTCCACGCCGGCGCTGACGAAGCGCACCGGATCGCGCCACAGTTCCACGGAGCGGTCCGAGAGCAGGGTACGTCCGGCACTGCCCGGCGGACGGACCGGCCCGAGTCCACCGCCGGGGTCTGGGGACGCGGGCCGGGGGCGGTCACAGCCGTCAGAGGGAGGGGGGGGGGGGTGAGCTTATTACAAACTGGCACTGCTCATTGATCAAGTACAGCTAAATATGTGAAGATATCAAATACAATGGCATTGAACACGACCTTCCGATCAGTCTTAGACAAGGCCTCTGGACGTCAACTTCCTCTGAAAAAACACGATTGCTCTTTACACAGCTCCAAGGGCTGGATGAATTTACCTAACTGAACGTAGCTTGAATGTCTGAGAATCTAATCACTGGCATATAAAGCTAGCTTGCATGAATGCACGAGAAAGCTGGTAACGTCTCATAACCAGCACTCATGCTTTCTAATGTTGTGCAGTAGAAACTGAAGGAGCTACGCCAGGATAATTGATGTTCAGCGGTTGGCGCTATTGTGAGAAAGACAGGCGGCAGGTCGAAATTTGAAACGACACAAAAATACGCGAAGCGCCACAGATCCTTAATCTGGTTGTTTTTGCTTCCATTATCACTGATTCGGCAGTCACTAGATTGGTTGTCACGGGTTTTCTCTTCACTGGTACGGCTGTCGATTGGTTGTCACGGGTTCGCTTTTCACTGGTTTGGTTGTCTTTGTTTCGGTTGACGCTGATCCAGTCAGCACTGGTTCAAGTCTCACTAGTAGTCGTCTTGGTTCGGTCGTGTCTATCTCAATTGTCATCGGTTCAGTTGTCATTGGTTCTTCAGTTGTCCCTGGTCCAGTAGTCACTGTTTCGATTGTCACTGGTCGGATTGACCCTAGTTCAGTTGTCAATGGTTTCATCGTCACTGGTCGACCGTCGTAGAACTACCTATAAGCCTGTTGAGGGCTGCACCGCGCGGCGTAGCAATTACCCGGCGAGTTTCAAATTCCCGTCAATAGATGGCACCAGCGACAAGCGCCGGAAGATAGACTGTGCCGCAGAGCAGCGGGTGAGCGCATCGCCGACTGTTGTGTAGTGCATATCCGTCGGGCGATTGGGAGGCTACATGGAATTCTAGCACAACACTGCAGCAATTTAACGACCTTTAGATTATCACTGAACGTTGATTGTTACTTGGTCCAGGATGTGAGTAGGAGGGATGCGTGCACACTGCACACGCCCCCCCTTCTTCACGCGTTACGATCAAACACAAATTCACCCTCAACGCCGATTGAACTTTTAGGTAGGTACCCACAAAACCAAAAGCATGCCTATCTCAAAGAGTAGGCACAAACTTCCACATAAGTTGGATGCATGCGAAGCACGACGAACAATTAACTATGGCATGCATCTAGCGGCGGAACACTAATTAAGGGGGGGGGGGCACTGCCTACTTTTGGTCCCATTCTTTTCATGCAACGCCCATAGGGCTAATGTTAAAATGTCAAAAATCAAGGGGGCTACGGTGCCCCGGTGCCCCCCCCCGTTCCTTTTGTGTGCCCCCCCCCCCCCATTCCTCCGCCCATGGCATGCATTGTCGAACTCCCGATAGCAATCCCTTCACTTCTCACTGAGCAGCCTTGTACGAAAGCTAGGCAGACAATGCATCTCAATGTCGCCTCATCTCCAATTTCATATGACAATGACATCATACCATAAAACGTGGACCTAGACCGTGTTCATTTCTTCAATGAGACGTAGGTATGTAGGTTTAATTTTTATGAAAGAGCACGTTGCAAAGCGAATCTCATTACGGTCACAAAGCATATCATTGGGAGGTTAATGACAACTTTGCGACCAGTTTTCGTACAATGTTTGGAGCTTTACATTCCACGACATCGTAATCCAGGGGCCCTGTTTCACCGGTGATAGCAGCACGCTGCTATTCCATTTCGCGAGCTGACGTCACACTTCTGGTAGTGTTGGAGAGATAGGCTTGTTGACGTCTCCATGGAAACCCAATTTGATACGTGTGATAGCAGCTTGATAGCAGCATGCTGCTATCACCGGTGACACAGGGCCAGGGTTATAGGCCAACACTATACTGTTAAGTGTACAGTGATCCCCCGAAAAAAGTATCAAAATTTCGATGTCTATCAAGCTAGGTAAAGAAAAGGCACCAAAATAAGAAAGCCGATTTGACTCTTCCTCATTGCAGCCGCACCATAAAAAGACGTCTTATTTCGATAGAAGCATTTACCTACAACACTATGCGGGGGAGAAATGGCCTCTGCCCATCATAAACCCAAACTAGCAAACCAACCATGCTAATGCACATAACTAGCAACCTACCTAATTTTCTGAACGGTGGGGCTGAACGGCTTCTGGCCCCCATCAGCGAAGGTTTTCAGCTGGCGGCCCTCGGAGCGCAGCTCAGACGGCCGAGTGCTGCCGTTCGGCTTCCCTCAGACCGCCGCTGCTGCTGCCTCTCCCCTTGGCGATCGTCAGTCTCCAGGGGCGGGGGGAGCTGGTGGGGCTCACACAGAGTTTTACGGGGGACCAATGTTTCAGAAGCGATTCGAGTAGCCCGCAAAAAAAAACCAGAGATGAAGTGGTCAGGGTCCTGATTTTGATTACAAATTTCGCTCTAGAAAATGTCCGATCAGTAACATGGCAGAGTTCAGAAAAATGGCAGAGTTATATGCTACCAAACATGGGTGATCGAAGAAGTTACATATTCAAGTGCGACCTCCGGTGCATTGTAGGTACATCTACATAGACATCGCACGGTACAATTGTTTATTGATGGGCAAAAATTTAAAATTTTGAGCTTTTGGCCTGACCGTGGCCTGGCCTTCAGTAGGTATAAGTTGCTGATAAGGGTGGTGATAATTAGGTGATATTAGCATCGATGGGTGCATACAATGCAAGAAGAGTATAATGTTGCTGAATCTGCCCAAAAGTATGTCTTACACGCGACTATAACTTGGTATTATAAACACATTTTTGGCTTAGCTTTAGTCTCCAACATACTTTATAAGTTATAAGTTATACACGACAGCTCGGTGCGTGCATGTCACATAGGTGTCAATATCCCCGATCTAGCAAGCTTAGCAGTTAGCCGACAGGCTTAGCTTAGCAGGGCCTAGTGTGAAAATAACGTGAACTAAACGTTCAATTTGGTCTGTGACGCCATCGGTGATCTCGAATCAAACGACATTATGCTCCATTATGCACAGCTTTCGGGCTAATAGATGCTAGTTGAATTTTAACCCTCGCACGACCAGGCCATTTCTCATAACACGAACGACCAGGGGGGGGGGTTGTTACGACCCCCCCTGGCGTTTCGAAACGGAAGTTCGTAGAGCTTAGCGGAAAAAACCAACGGATTGCTCTCAACGAGATCTCGCGATTGGTGGTATATTTTTTGGTCCTAGGTCAACATTTGACCTACTTATGACCGGTCAAAGGTCAAATTTTCCGAAAAAATCAAACTTTTTCAACTTTCCGCGGCGATTGCGGCAAAACGGTGGGAGATATACCTTCACTATCGTGTTCCTTGATCAATTCTCTATCGTTTGGTATGTATTTCGTTTCCCTAGCTCTAAAAATGGCGCGTTGGGAGCGCCGGAAGTCGGCAAGGTCACAGTCGGCGGCAGAAATTCGAAAAATCAAAATTTAAATTTTTGAAATCTGATTGTATTTTTGGATTTGGGAGGTCCATTTGCTCCCTATAGAAGCTAATATTGCTGCATATTCCCATTGAGGTGACAAGAATTAGCAAAATAGTGGTTCGGGCGCTTTTCAAAAATAGTTCCGGACGCTGTTCCTCTTGTGACGTCATAGCTCCGTGACCTGACCTGACCCGGTCAATTTTCTTGCACCACACGATAGCCAATGCTTGCCCCAACATGCATGGGAAGTTTCATCATGATCCATCAAACAATGTGGGTATCACCGGCAGAAAACCTAGGGATTCGGCGCACACGTTTGGTAACTGTCGGCCGGAGGCTGTACCTCTTATAACGTCATAACTCCGTGACCTGACATGACCCGATCAATTTTTTTCGGCAAAAGATGCGCAAAGGTTGCCCCAGAGGGTATTGAAAATTTCAGCCCGCTACGACAAGCCGTTTAGCGTGCACTTCGAAAAAACCTCAGGGGGGGTTGATACAACCCCCCCCCCCCTAGGCGTTCTAGGGTTAAACATAGGACGGTGCGGCCCCACTATCAGTCGCGTCATGTCGCGCTATGGATGGTAAGTACCCAATCCCCACCCAGTCAGGAGCGAGTCAACATGCCTTGAAATTTGTCGCAGCATTGTCTGATTTGCAGCGCACCGCTCCCAGTCACACTACCGCTCACCAGACAATTGCCAAGTTCCGTCAATCGTCTGTCGACTAAGTTCCGCCATCATAAACCACACGTGGTACTCCCAAACAACGTATCAAAACATTTAAGGCAGCTAGTGCGCTGATTTCATTTATTGGCATACAAGTGAAAATCCGTGCAAAACAAAGCGACAAAACTGTTAACACCTATCACAACGCATGAGCGCAACCACTCGAGGAACAATGAGATTGCAACGCAGCGACAACACTATGAGAACGAGGTTTTTCAAAGAATCCAGAGGAAAGCAAATGTCACATGTACTATAACATGGCACCGCTATCATATGCGCCCATAAGATGACAAAAAGATCACTCAATTCTACGAATATGCAAACGACAGCCGAAGCAGGGACAGACATCATTTTTATTTCATTTTAGAAATGGAATTCCGTTTTCCCTCCGCATCCCCATCAGCCAAGGCAAAATGTTCCAAAGTAATCCCCAACGGCTACATTTTTAACAGTTTCTGATGTACCGTGTTCATATAAAATTTATATGCGTTATCGACAATATCGCAAGGCAAGGCAAAATACCGCAAAACAGCGCCAGCGCACACAGTACAATGTGGAATAGTACGGTATCCAGAAAAGAATGTAAAAAAGAGAAGTGTTTTCGTGACAGCAGACACTTGAAGTGCAGAATCCATGACTAACATATGGCACGGTCAACGCCTCGACAAAAACCAGCTGCCAGATCAAGGACAACCTCCAGAATGGACTAGAACCTAACAATATCGCCCTTCGAACACTCACTTGGGCATGGTTCTAACAGAGCGCGTCGATGGTGATATTCACGAAAGCAATGCAAACATCAAAGCAGGTGCGCGTCCGATTCACAACCACTTCAAACACAGGCCATTTGCATATCACCAGTTAACCGCGTTTGACCGGTAATGTTCGCGTTAAGCAGCGCGAATAAGAGCCGACACCTCTATGGAGCGTAGGGCCGGGTGGGCGGCAGCCGGCCCAGCTTGATGGCGTCCCACACCCAGTCGGCGGTGACGACGGCGGCGGCGCTGCGCTGCACGCGGCCCGGCACGCGCTCACCCGGCGCCGCCACGTAGTGCGTGGCCAGCTGCAGCTGCTCTGGCTGTAGCAGCTCGCCGTCGTACGCGACGATGTAGCGTCGCAGACGGTCGTCCGCCTCCAGCGAGGGCGATAGCACGGCCAGCACGGGGCGCAGCGTGGCTGGCGGCAGGCCCACTACGCTGCCGCTCTCAGTTTTCGCAGGAGCTGAACCGCCGTCCGAAGAACCGTTCAGTTTGCGTCGCTTGGACGGCGTTGTTTCACTGTTCGGTGTCGAGCGTTTGGTCAGAGTCGGCCGATCTGCCGCCGCGGATGGCTTGGTGGGTGAGCTTTCGTTGCTGCTGGTTGTCGTCTGTCGTGAGGGTGACGACTGTGCCGATGACTGTTTGCTTGGCGAGGAGAGAGCAGATGACAGGGCCGAAGATGACTGCCCGTCGTCAAACACCTGCTTGGAGTTTTCATACAAGACGAGAAGCTCCTTCAGCGAGGTGGCTGTCTCCCAGTTCTTGTCGTCACGAATCTTGGTGACGCGAGGGAACCGGATAGATATCCCATGTGCCGTGTGCACATTGTTCTTTGTGAACTCGGCGCCAGTCACTTCCCAGACGGGCGAGCTTTGCGGGTCCTGCACAACAAAGTCGGGGATCATCGTCTTGCTGCATTCCAGCCACTTTGGCACCTTGCTGGGGTCCTTGCTGATTTTGGTCATCTTGAGCTCCGTCTGCAGTCGGTCGAGCGTCGCGTCGTCGTGGCCTCCGTGCACCTTTGTGACAGTTCGCCACCGTCGGCCGTCGAAGCAGCCCATCAGAAAGACAGACATCATGCCGCCCTTGTTGCCGGTACCGAACCAGGCACCAAGCACCACTAGGTCAGCCGAGTCGGCCGCCTGTCCGTCGCCCAGGTAGTCTTTCTTGACTTTCAGCCAATGGCGCTTTCCAGGTTCGTAGATGCTACCGAAGTCCTTCAGGACAAGGCCTTCTAGACCCTGCCGTATGACCGATGCAATCATATCCGACAGGTCTGGTGCTTTTGTGATGTGCTTCAGTTCCGAGAACATGACCCTATTCGGTACCTCTGTCATGTACTTCTCAAGGATTTTTCGACGCTCCAAGATCGTTTTCTTCATCAAATTCTCGCCGTTCAGGTGGAGACAATCGAACACAAACAAGCAGACGTTAGCATCTTTGAAGGCAGATTTCTTGTGTACACCAAGCGTGCCGAAGGGCAGTGGCTTTCCGGTGTTTGTGTCTATCAGCAATACCTCCGCGTCCAGGATGATGTTCTCACCATGTGGGAAGGCTTTCGGGATAAACTCCTTGAACTGCTTCACCTTGTGAGCAAGAACTGGCTTCAAGGACCGTGAGAAGTATGCAAATGTGTCGCCTTGCTTGTGAAGTTGCACACGTTCACCGTCGTACTTGATCTCAGCAAGCATACCGTTTGGACATTTTTTCATGGCGTACTCAACACTTTTGCAGGGTTCGGCCAGCATTGGGAGCACTGGCGTCATCAATGAGATGCCGATGTCGAGCGAGCCCGGCTGACCGCAGGCCTGCTGCTCCTGCACACGCTCAAGCACATCCTGTAGGTCACGGGTCGCTTGGAAGGCCTCGTAAGCGTCCGGGTGGATGCCGTCAAGGATGTGCTTCGCTCCAGCGTTTATCCGCAAGTCTGCTTTGATCAGGCGCACAAAGATCTTCAGGTCGTTTGCAGTGCATCTCTTTGCCACCCTCTTCAGCAAATTTTGCTGTTCTTCCTCCTTCGTAAGCTGTGACAGCTCGTCAAGGTATTTATCGACGTCCTGCAGCGAAAGAGTGGACTTTTTGGCCGGAAGAACGCTTTTCGACTGTTCAAAGAACACCCGAACTGTTTCGGCGACATCCCCTTGCTCTAAATCCTCAATCATCTCCTCAAGACTGACGTCGAATATCTGACTGAACAACTTCGCCAGCTGTTTGCTCTGCAAATTGTACACCCTCTTCACGACGCCGGGAAGAAGCAAACGTGTCCATAGAAGAAGGTTTCCACGGAAGCCACTGCCGTCCGTGCCATTGGTGATGAAATTGTTGATAATCTCTGACTTGCTTTTGTAACTTGCCTCATCAGCAACGTTGGCGCAGATCTGGCGAAACTGTCGGAACGAGTTGTCTTTGTGACTGGGATCAGATGTATCGCATTTAGTAGTGCCTCGGTTACCAGCAGAGGTTGGGGCGCTACCATCCTTTGTCTGGTTAGAACTAGGGCCAGCTTTCGAGGGCCCAGCACCAGAAACGAGCTGCTGCTGCTTGACATTCTTGGATGGTGATGGTTTTGACTGTTGACTAGCCTTGTTGACTTTCTTGGATGGCGATGGTTTCGACTGGCGACTGTCCACTACACTAGCAATCAGCACCAACAGCTTCTTGCGATCCTCTGGCTGAATTTCATCCCAGCCATCCAGGTCTTCTGGCTCTTCAATGACCTTCGTAGTCGCTCGTGCTCGGGCAAAAGTTTCAAAAATGCAGTCTGAGTGATACCACTGCTTCATATCACCACCCGAGTCTGAGAATGGATTAGGGACAAGTTTTGCAATCCTTATTAGTCCCTTTCCGATCTTCTCCTTGCACTTTTTGCAGCCAGCAGTGCCTCGCTTTGCATACTCGATGCAAAACTTCTTGTCCGACATGGCAAGTGGGATTCCAAGGGCTTCAAAGGGAGAATGCAAATGGCACCAGTAGGGAGGGAAGAGAAAAACTCTTGCTGAAGGTAAAACAAAGGGCTTATGTGGGATGAGGGATTTTCTCAGTGGCAATGCTAATAATCTACCAAAGAGGTTTAGGTTTACCATGAACAGACCCCAGACAGCAGACAGTGCAACTGCAGGCGAGATAAAGCAGTGCAGCAGAAGAGGATCATTAATTGGAAGCTCACAGGCTGCCACTGAACCTACCCTCAGCATCTGCCTTCATCTTCTGCCTCTGGTGATACGAGTATCTTCAGCCTTCAGCTCCTTAACACTTCAGTTCATTGGCTTTCCGAGAAATAACCTGAAAAGGGAAACAGATTATGTATGATTTAGCATTTAGGCAATAAACTGCATCACCTAATAATTATAGATACAGGTAGCATAGACCCATTACAGCTAGAGGTACAGCTAGAAACAGAAGCTCATAAAACATAAGCTTTGAGCCCAATGTCATAAAATTTAGGTTAAGCCATGCCTTGTTTTGTTTGTGAAAACCTGATTGAGGAAAGAAATTCAAAAGAAACACAAAATAGCATTTGGTGGTACCTGGTGAAAGTGAACATTGAACCACCGTGCATTTAGTTGAACAACATTGAACAACATTGAACATTGAACCACCGTATTTATAGTCACCGTGCATTGAACATGGCATGATGTTAAGACTCACAAACCTTACTTCAAACTGTTAATAAAATATTTTGAATTCTGGTGTAAGGGCATCTCTACAGTTGATTGCAGAATGCAGAATAGAGACCTTGTATAAAGATAAGGTACACCTTTTTGCATTGTTCGATGGCCAATCAGCAAAACCCATTCGTCCGATCTGCACATAGGTGGCGCCAGTGAGAGGCATTCCGGCACAACCTTCAGCATAAGGGCAAAACGGAATGCTAATCCCACTCCACAGTTCGTCAGTTGGTAAAACATTCGCTATTCGCCACAACTGATTGAATTCCGGTAAAACCTTTGACGATTTGGATAAATGCTTCGTCATTCGTTTATATCCCTTCGTCATTCACCAGAACATCCCCATGCTAATTTTGGCATTCCTCATAACATTTCGTCAAAACTAAACACAGATCGCCCCTTTACAGAGAAGTATAAATATGACCGCGTTTATACAGTGCAGTGCGAGCCGGCATGGTGGCGAAGCTCGAAGGTCATTTATCCACATAAAAATCGTTAGCTGTTCATGAGCGCCATAAGCACACTGTGCATGGACGCAGCTGACATGTTATCGGCAGTGAACAGGCAACAGAGCGTTTGATAAGTCAACCCTGCCTCAAACACCAAGGTGTTCGGCGGTGGGCCGGCCGGGCCCGGCTCGCCATCTGCCAGCCATTCCCCGCGAGTCCGACCGGTGCGGCCGCCCGAGGCATTGTCCCGAGACAGCGCTCGGACAGTGACGCGATGATGACGGCCGGCTTCGTAGTTTGCACCGAAACGCTTAGGAGTCTGACACTCGACCGTCTACATGCATACTCGATATTGCGCCGGTAACTACATAGTCTCCTCGTAGCTATCGTATACTGACTTGTTCGGAATCCAATGGTTGATTAGTTAATTGGTCAGAGGCCAATTAATGCCGATTGCGCTGTAACATGTCGCAACTCTCATCCATGAATGTGTGATAAACGTTTAACATTTAACCCGCGCCCTGCTGGGGGGGTGTTTGAACACCCCCCCTTGTGGTTTTTCGCGAATATCTCAAAAACGGCGGCGCGGAGCGCCGCCGTTTTTGGTACACCTTATCATACATCAATTCTACACATGTTGTGAAAATTTCAGACCAAGGTCATTCAAGGTCAGGTCACCAGGTCACTTGAAGTGACCTCACCTCATAAAAAGTTTCAATGTCTGACATAGCTACACCGAGTGACCGATCGCTTTGAAACTTTCAGCGATTGCTAAGAGCAATAGCATGTACAAAATCTATATCTCAGAATTTCGATATCGATGACCTTAGGTCAGGTCAATTTTGCGACCTCCCCATTATAAGTCAATGGGAGAAAATTGAAATGCGCCTCTTTTGGACGAAAGGCATTATAAACACTCCCAAACACTGAATTACAAGTGGTTTAGACACACTGAACATGAAAATGGTGTCCGTGACCCCTGTGTATGCCCTGAGGTCATCTTAGGTCACGAATGATATTCTAACAGTTTTTCGCAAATAACTTTTGATAGAGGCATGCTAGAGCGATGAAAACGCCTTAGATGTGTTCAGCTCGACGATACAGATCGACTGATATGCAACATGACCCTTTCCGGTCAGGTCATGACCTTGACCTGAGGTCAAATTTTCAAGTTGACCTTTCAAGGTCAAGTTATAGTTCATTCGATGCGTCTTGACGAGAGGAACACGATACCGGTAAAAGTAAGCTCGTACAAGGCTTGGGTCAAAAGTTATTGCAGAAAAACTGTTTCCGAAAAAATCGGCTATTTTTGGCAGTTTTTGCCCCCTGCAGGCAAAACCGTTGCGTTAGGTCAAATCTGAGAAATTAATAAGAAAGGGCGTTAATAGGGCTATCGAATGCGCTTTTCCGCGGCGCTGTAGCTCTATTGGTTCCCGAGTTATGCGTTGGCTTCTTGGAAATTTTCGACATTCGACCTGGAAATCGGCGAAATTTTGCCTTCAATGACCTCTGGTGACCTGACCTTTGACCTGACCAAAAAATTGACCGAAGTGATTTCGTCATTATTTTTGACACTCTTTCGAACGCCGCCTTCCGCGTATCGCTACGTGGCCCAGGAGCCGAGTTAGAAGGGGGGGTGTTCAAACACCCCCCCCCCCCAGCAGGGCGTGGAAATCCAGGACCCCCAGCCGGGCGCGGGTTAATATGGCTAGATATAGTAGATAAGCACTACATCATTGACATTTTGATTACTGACAGAAGTTTTAAATCAACAGCCATTGTCTACGCACAGTACCGTTGAATTTTGCACATCGAGTAACCTTTTGTGAAATGTCGAAGCATTATCACAATCTGACAAAGTGTTTGCCTATGACGAACATTGTGCTCATTGACAAAGAGTTATGCAGAATGGTTAAAGGTAGTGTGCCACCTTTGAAAGATTTCCCATTTTATTTTTCCTAGGATAAGAAGCTTCTGTTTTTACCTAATATCGCAAAAAAAAATCAAAAATGGGCCTGGAATAGTGCCTTTTTCGCCTAAAAGTTTATCGGTTTTTAGATATGTATAACAACTGTAGTGGGCTCACCTGCAAACAGGCGTCGGGCAACAATCGCGAATGCGGCGCACTTGTGACAATAAGCAAAGGTCATTATAGTGTTACGACCATACGACGTACGGGAATGAGTTATCAGCTGTCTAATCGTAGACAACACAATGTCGAGCCTTAACCCGCGCCCTGATGGGGGGGGGCCATTTTGGCCCCCCCCCCCCCTGTGGGTTTTCTTAAATAGCGAGAAAACGGCGGCGCGCAGCGCCGCCAAATTTTGGGTACCTTACCGGGCATCAATTTGACACCTTCACACAAAATTTCAAGTCACAGGTCACCTCAGGTCAGGAGTTATTGAGGTCAAACTGAGGTCATGTTCGAGCAAAAATGAGCAAAAAACATGACATCTTGAAACGCTCACCAATTCTACAGTTAACAAGCAATTTTAAAGTTCTTTATGTGGTTGTGTAGAGAAAAGACGGCGCTACAAAACTGCTATCTCGGATTTTCGAAATTTTGGGATTTTGACCCCCAAAAATCAAAAAAATTGATTTTTTTAGAAAAACTCAAAAAATTTCCAAAAAATTTTCGAATTTCGAAAAAACCGGAATATATGTGATAGTCCCTGCGCTCTTCGATATACATACCAAATTTTAGATCGATACCTCTTTTTTTGGCCAAGTTATAGCGAAAAAACTGTTAAAAATTGATGACGTCAAATTTTTGAACTCAATTTTTAGCAATTCTAGACCTTGTAGCGCAAAACGGAGACCACCATTGAACTCCCCGTGACGAGCTGCATCGAATCGATACCCATTTTATGCAAAAATATCAACTTTGAAATTTGACCTAATTTGACCTGACCTTGACCTGACCTTGACCTGACCTTGACCAAAACGTGACCTAAGCTGGCCCTAAAGTCTGTCTGACCCACATAATCGCATTTGTCATGTAAAATGGACCATAAAACATGTATCACACGACACTTTCATATTGTGACCCCCCCAGTGACCTGACCTCTGTGACCTGACCTGGTATCAGTGACCTCAAATAGCAAAATATGTGTTTGAAGAACATTTCTCCATCGATGATTTTCAATGAAATGCATTTTACTCGATTTTACAACGCATTTCTTGAAATGCCTGTAAACGGTGAAAATTCGACCTTTGACCTGACCTGTGACGTCATCGGTTTGACCGAGGTCAATGAAATTGGGTCACAAGGTAGTTCCCCGCTGGGGCTATCCAACACCGTTTACCGCTTGTCGCTATGTTGCGTGGTTCTCGAGATCTGAGGGGGGGGCCAAAATGGCCCCCCCCCCATCAGACCGCGTTGCTCGGCAGACCCCATCTGGGCGCGGGTTAAACTGTAAGCCCGTATTGGTATTGTTTCTTTTATTTGGCTGTCGAACATTATTTATGGTTTGAAATATGATTTTATGTAAAATAATTGATATGAAAAAGCCGTCTTATAAGTTATGACCCCATTTCACCACACGCAAGTGGCAGAAATGACAATGATCAGCTGACGCATTTTTCTTGGCCGAAGTCAGAGCGCGCGGCCCGACGCACCACGCGTATTTGGAAATTCCGACCTCGACGAGCATCAGAAGCCACCTAACAGGCGTGTTCGAAACCGCAGGAGATGATGATGAACGGGTTTATCGAAACTTGATTGGATGAGCATATCGGTAATAGCGATTTCAGTGTGTGCATTTATTGTTCACAGTGGTGTGAAATGTGGTTGGGGTCAGTGCTGCCAGATTTGGAGGATTTCCGCAAATCTGGAGGATTTTGAACTCTATTTGCGGACAAATTTCGCTTTCGGAGGATTTTTGATTCTGGAGGAAAATCTGGAGGATTTGTCGCCCGATTATTATACTCAATTTCATGGAAAAATATAACACATTCAAGACTAAAAAGGCATTTTCCTGCCCAGCGTCACCCTACCCGTTAGGATATATCACGTCCTTTATCACCGTGAGACTGCAGAATGTCTCAGTCTGTAGCTATATCTACGAGGGTGCCAAACTACTGGCGGATCTAAGGGGGACATTTGGGGCAAATGCCCCCGGTTTCCCTGCAGCGCCCGAAATCGACGAAAATTTTCGTTTCTTTT